CGTCACTAGGTTGGCGTTACTGTTATTACCATAATCAGCTTTTTTAAATTGGTCGGAATAGTACGAACATATTCACTTTGTCTTTCCCCATATTCTGTTTCTAGATTATTTTATACCTCTTATTATGCCAATTTATTTTCCCTGACTCATATTTCTTATCCATGATCTTTTATACTACAAGTGGTACTACTATCTCTACTATTTTGGTATTAATAGAGAATATTTGATCTCTTTGTGCTGAGATGCCGCCTCAGATTGAGTTAATTCACATGTTTGACAGGTATTTTTTATTGTCTATAGTTGGATGAACTATTTTCAACGACTGACGTCATTAGAACCAGTCATTTTTATTTTATTTTAAATCTGATGAGTTGCTCTAGTGTCGTTTCAAATTTTGAATCAAACTAATATCATAAGGTAATTTATATTCTCATTCCCAATCAATCTCTTCTTGTATAATAATGTATACTCAAAGTGCATATTTCAATACTCCTCGTAGTTACAATCATAAATGCAACAAAATAGATCATTTTTAAAGGATGGTTAGTGACTAAATTCACTTCATTAGATAAATGTTGTTTTATTTCGTTTATTTTCTTACTTAAAATTCCTTTTTTTTTCATATGTCATAGTACAAATAATTAGGAATTAGAATTGAAAAACAAATACATTCTTAACATTATCAACAAATATCTATCTAAAGATGAGATATCTATAAGGGTTTCTTTTGGGCAGTATACAAATTGGTACTCTATTTAATGACTAATAAAAAAAAAAATAATTTTTCCCAAAAGTGAATGGAACTGTTTTTCACATACATCGAATTATTGGTCAATTTGTTGACTATTATTATACCCACTTTATTTTCTAATATACTTATAAATACTTATCTATTTATAAACGTATATATTATATAAAAAGGAATTTGAGAGAAACTTGAATGGTATGCAATTCTAGTAATTCAATATTTCAGGGAGAAAAAAAAAAGAGAATGTGTCCACATTTCAGTGCAAGTATTTCTTCTTATTAATTCAATCTCCTACCTGTTGCCACCATTAATAAAAAGCTGTTACATGGTCTAACTTGAGAAAGCATCAATTTTTATAACATTCCATTGTTTTCATTTATAACTAACCGATTATATAATGACAAATTATTGAAATATAATTAAGAAAAGAATTTCTCTTTGAAACATGAATATTTGGTTTAATGTTAAACAATTGACCATTAAAATTAACATTTAAATTGTCTTTTTATAAATAACGTAATAAGAAATACTTCTGTAATTCTTTGATCTTTATTCTTATCAATTTGAGGAAATATTCACCAAGTTGAATTACATTGTAACACTGAAGGATACTATTACTTTATTTGATGAAAATAATGGTAATAATAACACTGTCCACATATTTTGCTATTTATAATTTATAGTCACTGTAGTTATGATTGTAAATTCTTTCGTAATATTGCTTACTTGTATTAGGGATTGAAGATTGAACGTTATGACTTTAGATAAAGAGGTTAAATTAGCTTGGTTTCTGCTAATATAAGTAAGATATTAGTTAAATCGGTTTAATCAACATAGGCATCTTAATGTAGGATAGTGACTGGTGTATAATAAAACTATGAAAGTTGTCCGAAGAAAAACAGAAATCTAACACGTGATATATGTGACCTATATAAGTTAGGACTTCTGATTTGAAACTTTAGAATAACAGATATAATTGATTTATGTCAAGTGGTTGGAGTCAATTGGCAGCAATATCTGAACCTGCCTTTCCTCCCAACTATCTTCACTCATGTAATATCAAAACACAGTACACAAGATATCAAGTCACGTAGACTGATGGTCATATTTAGCAAATTGGTTGACAAAATAAGGTCAATACTAAGTACTGGGCAAACAAGATATTGATGACTAGTCAGTTAAAAGATACTGCCGACCAAGCCCTCAAAGAGGTCATTAAGATGAGGTTTATTTGTTCAAAAGACATCAAATAGACTCTGTGAACCCTGATATCATGGTGGCCGTTGGCAGTGCCAATCAGGTAGTATCACTAACCTTGCGAGAACGAATGATAAAATGTATTTGCTATTTGTTTGTTATTCATAGCTTACATTACGAGCTGACTTTAAATAACCATTGATAAGTAGAAAGCACTAAATAGTTGTCTCATTTGAGCATGAAATTTCTCGACAGTACGCATCCAAGACCGCCCCAGGGATTGAAGTTAAGGCATTGACGCCCTGAGCAAAAGTCTTTTAGGTTATTGAGTTGGCATCCAGCGGTTTACTTTTGTAATTCCAATCAACTCGTGGTGCTATTGGTGGATAACTACCTCACACTCAGCATGACTGAACTTCACTGGTCATGGCTTTAGAACTACCCAAATTCCACATTTCCATTTTCGTTGCCACTTCATATCAAGTTGTTTTTTTTTGAGTTTTTAGCCGTTTAAGGAATGTGAATGGTTTGTTTATTTTGAAGACTGTCTTTCCATGACATCACGACTAAATATATAGATATCTGTACTAAAATTGTTTTGTTAAGGACTGTTTATAAGAGGTTTGCAAATATTTTGATATACTACCAGACACTTTAAAAGTCTAAGCGTAACAAAGTAATCTACTTTGTCAGAACATCGAAAATACGAACAGTGTCGTTTAACTTTCTAAGGACTCGAAGATTTAGGCCCACACTGAGGTATGCATTATTCAGTCTTTAAAGCAAAAGTTTAAACAATAGGGCAGTGAAGCGATGTCAAAAGACCTAAATGCATGGTAGTTATTCATTCCCTTAAGTTTTTAGTCTATTCGGATCACTGGTTTGAAAAACCAAGATTTTTTAACTCCCTAGGTGGACTCGTAGTATCCATATATCAGACTTCTCGACCTTGAGTAAAGACTTCTCGACCTTGAGTAAAGACTTCTCGACCTTGAGTATGCGGACGATATTGTCTTACTGTGCGATAATGCCCAAGGCATGCAATCCGCACTTAATCAGTTGGCAATCAGTGTCCGTAGGTATGGTATGTGTTTTGCACCTTCGAAGTGCAAAGTACTTCTACAAGACTGGCAGGATTCCAATCCTGTACTCACCCTGGATGGTGAGCAGATAGAAGTAGTCGAGAAGTTCGTGTATCTGGGTAGCTGCATAAGTGCTGGTGGGGGTGTGAGTGATGAGATCAATGCACGTATAGTGAGAGCCAGAGCGGCTTATGCCAATCTGGGCCACCTTTGGCGCCTTCGTGATGTTAGTCTGGCTGTAAAAGGTCGGATCTACAACGCGTCGGTGAGAGCAGTTTTGCTCTATGCTTGTGAAACCTGGCCTCTCCGAGTTGAGGACGTTAGACGACTCTCTGTGTTCGATCATCGCTGTCTCCGAAGGATTGCTGACATTCAGTGGCAACACCATGTTAGTAATGCAGAGGTTCGGCATCGTGTGTTTGGGCACAGAGATGATAATTCAATTGGTGTCACCATCTTGAAACACCGACTTCGGTGGCTTGGACATGTTCTACGAATGTCGTCCCAGAGAATTCTACGTCGTGCATTGTTTGCCGACTCTGGGACTGGTTGGAAAAAGCGGAGAGGTGGTCAGTGCATGACATGGTGTCGTGGTATGAAAGAAAGTTGCAAAGGACTGGCTTCTGTCGGTTCTTCACGACTCCCTGGTTGGGGTCTGAGAGATGGTGCTACACAGTGGCTAGAGACGTTATCAGATATGGCTCAGAATAGAAGCCAGTGGCGATCCTGCTGTAACCTTCTTTTACTTTCTTCATAAAAAGTGGTTGTGTCTCCCTTACTTGAAAGATTTCTTCCGATTGTACCTTTCCGTTCCATCGTTACGACCGCACTACCTTTCACCAATCTCTTTGTTATCGTTCTCTTTTTCTTTTGTGCTCCTTAGTTTTTTTCTTTTCTCTCTTCGAATTTTCATTGTTTTGTGTGGCGCATATATATTGGCGCTCTCTTGTACCAATATTTATGTGCTCAAATAAATAAATAATAATAAATATATCAGAGCCATGAGTAACTTTTTCATCTTTCCAGGACACTGCAATCCCACTGATGTTTTCATTTCTTCTTTGATAGATATATGTCAAAAATGTATGTTCACGTACTAAAAGTAATTACATATATTACTATGGACTTGAATCTTTTTGAGATTTCTATTGGGATTTTCTACTATGTCCTTATACCTATAGCTGAAACCTTTACCATCAACTCATTAAAGAATAACGTGAATGCGTACTAGTATTTTACATTGACACACAGTCTCAACTAAAGTATATCTAAGAAAACGCATCCAGAAATAATTAGAGAAATGGAAGTATGACCCAAAGATATTAGCTCATGTTTCAAACCTTAAACACTACAAAATCAAAGCTTGTGTATAAAATACTTTTAGCAGTTTCTTCCCAATCAGTCTACTATAAAGTAGCATTTATGAACTATTCTTTAGTTGTCAAAACGAAAAACAATCCTGATGTGCAATGATACGATATAGTCGGATAATGACTACTTATGAGGCCGAATCAGACACAATAGCCTTAACGTTTCGAGATTAAAAAAGATCACTATTCATAATACATTTTTCTGATGTACAATAACAAGCTTATGTATAAAATACTAAAAAAATAAACATATTTAGGCATCATAATAGAAGTCAATTTGTAGATTAGTCACTATCTAACCGATCAAAACCGCCCGATGTATCATACCTTACGAACAAATAGTCACGTGATTAGTTCAGAACTGTTTATCAACCGGTCGATCGGTGTAAAACATCCAATAGGAATAATCAATTACAATTTCATTTCAAAATAAATACAGAGCAAAATGTAAGCACATTCTTTAAATACATATTTCTTGTTAGAAAGCAAAACTCAATCTTATACAGAAAATGGGTAATAATAAATACAGAAAGTAATAGTAATGACTTTAAACCATCATCGAATATCTGTCCTTTAACAAATGATACATGCATGTAAACAAACATCGAGCTAGTAAAAACTGTACAGTATTAATATGTTCGTGATTCTTAGAATTGAAACATTTATAAATTGAAAACAATTGTGAAGATTCTACACGCATTTGAATAATTTCTGACGAATCATTATTATTATTATGTATAGTTTTTATTGGGGCCGATATATTTGTTAAATGATTAGATTTCACAGGAAGAAGAGAGAACGTAATATTAGGTTGATTTTTAAACATTTGATGACTTAAATAAGTTGTCCAACGATTAGTTGATTGATTAGTCCATTTTACTAAAGTTTCTATTGATGGACAATTAGTTGATATGCATAATTGACCTGTTGGTGTATTGTTAATATTGGATGATAAAAATGCTAGAAGATAACCCATGATTACAGCTTGATGAACATTACGAATGTCTAAGTTATGGATTTTAGTAAATGAAGAAGTTGATAATGGTGCGATAGGTCGAAGAATAACATCAGTACTTGCTCCAAGATAGTTACTACATAAAATGTTGTCTTTAATTATATTAGAACAATTATATGCCTAAAAAGTAAATAAACGAGCAAGAGAGATGATAGTAAATGAAAAGTAATAAAGTGAGACACTATCAGGTGCTTAATCATCCAATGGTTATTGAAGTTAAGTAATTAAAAGCAATCGATAAAAAGCTTTAGATTTATATTGATCGACTTCCAACAAAAAATCGAATCAGCAATCTTGAGGGGACTAATTATACTCCTTATGGGATTCGAAACTGCACCATCCAAATCCAGAGCTTCTTCGTGGTTGTCTCAACGTACCTACCATCAAACCAGTGTATTAGATGTCAAATCATATAGACTAAACATAAAGTCATAGGATATTGGGTTTATAGGTTACTTACTAATCTGAGAAATCGAAGTGCCCAACATATTGGTTGCATTACAATTGCTTAATTCTTTCAATCCGCGGTATTCTAATACGCTTAATGTTTAATTAGTTTATTCGTCAATGCGATTTAATCTACAAGTATCCAGAGAATGGAGAATATGGAAAAAAGAGCGAGAGATTCAATATCTGGACTCTGTTGAACAGGTTAATTATCTAGTACTTTAATTAATTTTTTGCAGTAAGTGGTTGAAATTAATTTGTAAAAGGAAACTCTGATAGCATGGCACGATTCTATATCGAAAACTAAAAAGTGACCAGCTATAGTTCATATCAGAAGTTATTTTTGAAAAGATTGCTTAAAAGATTATTTACCTTTTCATTTATCACTAAGATGAATATGAAGGTTGGAGGAGTTCTAAAGATGCGAATTTATTACCCATTATTCCATGGACAAGGAAACCATATCCATCTACAAGAACATTAGCAAGACTAAGTTGATTGTAGCTAATATTTTGATTCTCATTAGGAATACGTACACTGTAATTTGATAGATTGCCATCTGCATTGAGAAAAATATTCGTATAAGTGGCTATAGAGTTGCTGTCAGTAAACGAGAGCTTAGGTAGTGTGGTAAACAGATCTTCAATACCACGAATAATACATTCTGGATTACGGCTCACAAACTTAGATCTCCATGATGAGAGAAGGTGTTTTCGATAAGAATGATTCATGGTGAAAACGGGAAGGTAGGATGGGGGTAAAAATTCTTGTTTAATGGACTCTGTACACAAATATCCGATAAGGTAGCCCATAAAACCCGCATGTACCAATGAGGCTGAAGATAATTTAGAAGATACATACACTAAAGCGAATTGACTACTGGTCAATTTTCCAGATGAGCAAATATCATGTACCAAACGTTGAGTGGTAGCTTTGAACTATATGGTAGAAAATTTGAAAATGAGTAATTCTGATGCAACAGGAAACTCACAGAAGAAAATATAAAAAATTTTAATTCTACTCAGGTTACAAAGAAATGATTTATTTACTTAAATATATAGAGCTGCCATTATTCACCTAAAAAATGTATTTTCAACTACTGAGTCACTAATCTATACCATATTTTATCAACCAAAGTTTAAGTAGCTTTGATGTGTGAATAAATGTTACATAGTAAATACATGTGACTTACAGACTAGTACAAAAACCTATAAGTGAATGTTAAGTATCATTATTTGTTGTATAATACTGTTAGTAATATAAACAATGGTAATAATCACTACTTGAAGCATAGCATGAATTAAAACCAAAAGATATCCAGCTATATCCAACTTATCTACATACTCAACATATTTAGTAAACTAGTATTATATCTTAAAAGGATGTCAGATTAAAATATGCTTTCAACAAATAGACCGCATGTTTTAACTCCGCTCCATCGTCTTCAATGCACTTAGCATTCATCCAACTAAACTATGACTAGAAATTAAGTGCATAAACCTTCACTCGGTGAGTTAAGTTACTTAGTTATCACCTTTTCTATTTCACTTGGGAGTAAACCTTAATATTTTCAGAAACACGATTCCATACAAAATAATCCTCAAAGGTTAGATTTTTAATTTAAAAAGAATGTGAATGTATATAAAGCTGTGGTTCGACAGCTAATGCGTTCAACATGAGTCGTAATTTCAAATACTGGTCCATCTGAGTTAATTTGCGTAGACAAATAGTCTAACTTAGCTTCCGAACAATAAGTGTGACTGAAAGCTTAATACGGAAACTTAGTTGACCGTCGATTTGTATTTCTGTTAGCGGAATATGGATTGAATTAAAGCATATTCCGTGCAAGATTATGTTGGGGCACACTAATTGACCATTTCTTATCTAATCAGCGCTAGCAGATACTTGGAGAAGACTCTAAAATCTTCTCATTCAACTATAAATATATTCCTACTTCCGTCTACTCTTGTTATTTAGAATAATAATTACGTTCGTGTTAAACCGTGTTCTGAATTGGGGACTTGTCGAGTGAGTGTCTAAGAATACCAAGCAATAGTAGCTGGATCGTAATAAGACAAATTATAACAATTACCATTGACAACTGACAGGTGGCTGTACTGATATACTGAATAATTTTCATTTAGTCAACAACCGATCTCCCTCCCTTATACATACTTTATGTTGATTCAATACCTTGAAGTAGTTGTATCACTAATTTGACTAAAATTTATAGCTAGTTTTCAGCATTAGTGTCTACTAATCGATGATAGCTTGTTTGTTGTTCAATTTAAGTAATTACATCAAGAGAACAAAATTACGACACTTAGATGATGGATGAAGTATTTATTAATAATTAGAAATATTTGAATACTGGGTTTCTAAACGAATTTCTAATTTTGTGTCCACATAAGAACGACGAAACAATATAAACACTAGACAGCATACGTGGTGATTATTAAGTTTTATTATCTACTTTACATTTTGAACGAAGTGACCTCTAGTGCTTTTAAAGATATCAGGGTGGTTATCACTTACCAGTTGCTAATACTCTGAGGGGATACTTCTTCTTGAAGTAAATATAAAGGAAACTGGGTGAGAAGTGATTTTGACGACCTCGAATGAAACTTAAGATTATACAAATTAGAGCTTATTTGCCGTAAAAACAAAATGATAAATCACTAATAAGTATAATAATTAGAAACTGTTAATGTTGTCAGTTTATTGGTTACATTATTTGATTGCGAACATTTTATTATCTAGAAAGTTGTACTAGCATTTACACAGATTGGCATATCAATATTGTTGTAGATACAAAGTTTTCGGTTAAATTAAATAGAGGATAATATGTAGTGCAAATAAACCCCAGCTACTAGTGCTTTTGTAAAAATAATTCATACTTGGGACTTTAGATCACTAATATAACCAATGAACTTAACTATTTAGCTATAGGTAACATTCTGTTGTATTTCATTTGATTTGAGGAGTCCATTATTATAGTCATTGTGCATATAACAGATATAACTTGGCTAGATTCGAGAATAAACGAACATTTTTTAAGGAATACCATAACGTCTAAAGTAAATTATTGACCCTGATTCTTCTAATTAATAAAGATCTATTACAAGTATTTGATAAATTACTAGCCGAACCAAATATCATTTTCCAGTACCTAAACAGAGCGAATCGTTCAGTACAAAGTCATTAGGCAGAATAATTAATTTTCTGGATAAGTTTTATAAGAACTTCAAGGCAAATCCTAAACACGTCTAAATTCCGAATGGAATTAGTGGCTCTTCAAGATTGTGTCTACTTTTAGACATGTCATACCCACGGTTTGTTCTTATACAGTAACCATTATTTAGAACTAAAATTATTCAAGATAGTATAGTTTGGTCCTTCTGAACTATGCGCCTTATACTTGGCTCTCAATAAGAAAAACAGTGCAAGAATATGCACCCAACCAATAGCAGGAAAAATTCATAAGTAATTCGGAACTAATAATGACCAATTAACGTACATAAAAACAGAATACAGATCGAAATCATGAAGGTTTCTTAACGAATGTAACAGAAACTGTGGTGTTTTCGAGGTAAAAAGTACAAGTACAGTTCTGTTACATTAGATTTCACCTAGATAACTACAAACTTAAATACACCAAATTTTACTATTGAAAATTCGTAACATTATTTCCAGAAAATAATTCCAAGAATCAGGTTTTTGAGTTTACATATTATCAATACCCAGGGACTAAAAACCAGTTTACTCAAACAGGAAAAAAGCGTTTAACTACCATAGAGGAACACATGTACGGTCTGAATTCCTTTCCAGAAGGCAAATTGAGTGAAAGGCTGTTCCAGTTGGAAAGAATAACTGAATTTTTATTTTCAGGATCCAAGCACAAAGACGCATAGCTTAGCCGATCGGTCGTAACTTCGATGGTGCAGCATGACTCAATTACCTAAAGACTATGAATTAAGTATTATTCACTTACTCCACGATGCTTATCTGTTATATGAGGTTGAATTAAAGTAGATGCCGTGTTCAAACTTCGTCCGAGCAATAAATAGACAGGACGATGAGAATAGAGTGCTATCATCACTGGCACATTTGTTGTACAACGAGTCGCTGAAGACGCTAGCCGAATTGTTTTCGTGCTGAATACTTTCCAGTGAGCTACCTCGAAAAATATATTGGGTTGGACTTATTGACGAATCTTTTTAAATTAAATGGTAATTGGTCAGAATCTTTATAAAAGATACCATTTATTATAGTTGGTTAAATAAATACATTAAGTGAAACCTTGAAAAATGGCTAAAAGAGCTATGGGTCAAAATATTTTAACCCTCTGTAGTTAGTAATACTTATTTATTCACTGATTTTAGCACATAAACGTTGGTACGAGGGGTACTATATACATATGCGCCACACAAAAACAATCAGGACAGTAGTAGTGATCACTGATTTATGTGAGAAATGTGATACTGCCCGGGTGCCCAGACCGAAGCAAGGGAAAACAACAGGTGTGATATCACTACTAAATGAATCTGTATTAACAGTTCACTCGAAAAACTTGGGAAACTGAACAATACAATAACATAATGGCGCAAATGTACTCACTTATTATCTACCTCTTAATCTTGAGTTCGAGTATTCTCCTACACATCTTTCAAATATTGGCGAGACTACAATTTATGGACGAACCAATTAGATTTACGATAACAGGTCTTAAGTTTTGGTATTATGGCTGATGTTATTTCGTAATGAAAGTCCTAAATCGAATTCGTAGCCCTAACTAACAACTGTGAATATTGATCCTAACTCCTCACACTGGTTTATAACCCGCAGTTAGCCGAAGTATGTAGATGAACGTTATTAAGGTATTTTTAGAGACGCTCAAGGATCGCCCATAAATTATAGTCTCACCGAAAGACGTACACTGCTGATTCAAGAGTTTTCAATCTTGATTATAGCTTTTCTTTGAGATCTCACGTGAACCTTACAAAAATTACTCTGATGAGCTTTTCCACATATATCATAATTATGTATTGATCGAGAATTAAAGGTAAAAAGAGGATTAAGAACGTTATGTTTGGTCAGTCATCAATAACGTGGAAGCCTCCCAACCTCCCGATTCTGAGGTTTCCCACAAAGTAAAATGACAATCGGCAATTTTCATAAAAACTTGAGGATTTTGTGCAATTTTCCCGAGATTTCTTTATAGTGTCTTCCTCAAATGTGCAGATTGGGTTATCACGTGTACATCAGCCTGTTACTTTGTCATGTCAGGACAGCGACACATAATCACTAAGATGAATACAAAATTGGTAGAGGTGATATAAAGGGAAGTGAATAAGATCAGAGAACACGATCCGATAATAAAAAATCCACTGTACGTAAAGCAATCTCCGAAAATAGTAAGCATATACTCTGATTGATAGCTGCTACCTACATCTGCAGAGGTTCATACTGTCGTGAAAGTAAATAACTACCTGTATCATAAAACTACAGTCAAACGAACGTTTAGTCATAATAAAGAAAAGTAGTACACCAGTCTAAGAAACTCGCGAAAACACTACGTCATACATGTATTTTACTCCCCTATGACAATATATCCGGATGATTACTAGCGAGATTTGTAGTGTAAAGTAATACGAACTATCTCCAAGATTACTAAGGATCTGAGGTGTTTCGCGATCTTCTTTTGTAGTTACCTGTTGCAAAAACTTAAATGATTGTGTTTAGCCATTATATTTATGTGTAAACAATCCGTAAAATGACTAAACGCGCACGTAGTCAACATTAAGCACCACCATCACCAACTTGTACGCATGACATATTGATAAATGAACCTCGCGCAAAAATCTAAGGCTTGGTATCGCAAATCTCATCGATTCGTCTATAAATTATAGTCTCACTGTTAGTGGTAACTATCCATATTGATAAACATAAACCATGTTACAAGTAACAAGACTAAGCCTATTTTAATTGGCCACGTAACACTAACGCTCACGTTAAAGATTTACGGCACAATAATATGTTATGCTCTGTATGACCAGCATTTTGTGACGAACCAATATGAATCAACTGACCACTTTCCTCCTATTTTTAAATGTCACAGTAGCAGTTCCAGTCTTATTGTATAATCTAACAAAGTTTTTTCTAGCCTCTTATATACGATCATTTCAGTGATAACTGGTTTTCAATATAAAATATCTGTCACTAACTTGGGTAGACCGACTGATTTCTCCGCGTTCACTTCATGTTGTTTCGGTGAGGTTACATGTATTTGGTAATGTCCAGTTGTTTTGTAATCTAGCTATTCGACCTAACTAATTCCAACCCGTTTGTTAGATGTTTGTGGATTCCTATGACTTTAGTTTGAGTGGGTGCATTTGTCTTACGACTATAAGGCTTCTGGGTTCCAACAGTTATCACAATTCTGGGAAGAAGCTTGACTATTTGCAATGTGAAGAATAACAAAAACTCAGTTCGAATGAAGAAGAGCTACGAAAAGACAACTGTCTCAATAAGCCAGTTAATTTATTAATCAAACTGTGTGATTGTATAGAAAAGTATAAATAGCAGGCTAACGTAGGTGCTAAGAAGCAAAACAAGAGTAGGTTACTGATATCGGTTGATAATACTAGCAGGCAAGTTACGTGACAATCATTAGGTATATCTGGTCCAGGCGGGGGATGGCAGGTACGTGTTTATCAAGTCTTCTCTCGAAGATATCAGCCTAGTGGGCTGTGGCCACTCTAGCTGGGAGGCATTCCAGATGGATGTAAGTCTCAATGAGCAAACGTTGGAGGTTACCTGAGATTTTAATACTTGACATGCACTTTCAGGAGTTTTCCCGAGTAGCGTGATGGTGATGTTTTAGTTGGGTGTATAGTAAGGGTGATCAGTTGTCTTTACGTCAAGAGTAGAGTTGCCTGGCTGCATCCTCAACATAATTTGAGATGGTGTTCATGGTCTTTTCAGATGCTAGCCCAAGATAGCTCTCCAAGGAAACAAGTGACAGCGGTTCTTCATGTGGGACGTGAGTTGTTTGTTTCCCATGAAGCAGAATGGTCGTAAAATGGCGAGAAATTTAGTTGTAACCTATCATCTACTGTCCGTTTCGTCAGGTGTAAGACCCTTTTGGAGCTCAAATGAATCCTTTGCGCCTGAGGATTATACAGGTATTCAGTGTTTGACAACGCTTCTACCAGTAACACCTTCTAATATAATTTGTTCCCACCGAGAGAAATCAAAAGACAGAGTCGAGGAGATCGGAAAAGTGTATTTGGCGATTACCAATATATCGGAATTCTTTGATCTAATCTGGCTAGCAATTACGGTAGATGTTGAGCACAGCGTTACCACACGTGATCTGGTGCGGATGCATGACCGAGCACCTTCAGCTAGATGAGTCCACTAAAACATCTGGTCAGCATCCAATGTCGAAAACTTACAGAGCTATTTAGTTTGGGGATTTATTTACCGCTACAGATCACTCCCCCTAGTGGGGCAGTGATGACCCTAAGACGTGACCAGCCAGAAGTTTAAACCCAACGAGTTTGTCGTTGGTAAACACTCTTCTGATAGCTTACGAAGTTTAGCAGCGTCTGGTCGTCTTTCCTTACTATATGGAACCGAGGTACAACATAGTAAAAAAAGATAATGTACAATGAAAATTTCGGCTCCTCGTAAACTGCATCGTTCTTTTCCAGCTGTCCTGGAAAAGAAAAAAAATGTAAGTGCATGTCGAAATACACTCTTATGTGCGTAAAAACGCAATGTCGGCGAAAAAAAAGGAAAATAAACTCAAGCACACTTCAAAGCGTTAAAAAAATTTGTGTTTGCTTTTTTTAATGAAAATATAAATATTTGAGCGTATTAAAATTGCTTTTTTTAAATTAATATATATCGTAAAAAGAAAGATCGAGATAATATAAAATGTCGAGTAGTGCTTTACGTGCAATAGTCGTTTAAATGTTCTGGAAATCTTACTCTTCTTCCAGAACGTGTCGTTTCAAGTTTATTTTCACACACATTCGGAGTGTCATCGCTAGTGTTGGTTGTCGGTTGAGGAATTATGAGTGTAGGGGTCGTGTTGTGCAATTGTACCGAAGGAAAATCGCCGTGAATGGGATTTCCTTCTAAATACGCTGTTTTTAAGCGATCGATGCTGATGGTATCGACTATATAGTACCTAGATTCGCGTTGAAGAACTTTGATAGGTCCTTCGTATGCTGATTCGAATGGTCGTCGATGTGCGTCTCGACGAACGAAAACGTGTGTACTATATTGTAAGTCAGGTTGAACGAAAACATCGGTGGATTGTGGTTGAGTGGAAGCAGGTTTAACTGAACGCATTGCGTTTGTAAGCCTGTTGGTGTAGGAGGTTAGATCCATGTTCATTGAAGAGATAGAAGGATCCACGAATTCTCCTGGAAGTCGAAGTGTCGTTCCATAAACGAGTTGAGCTGCAGTGTATCCAATGTCAGCTTTCACTGCATTGCGGATACCTAGTAAGACGAGTGGAAGAGCGTCGGTCCACTGTGAAACGTTTGCAGTTGATAGTGAGGCTTTTAGTTGTAGGTGAAAACGTTCTACCAACCCGTTTGGTTGTGGGTGGTAGGCGGTCGTTCGGAAGCGAGTGCTTCCTAATAGTGTGTTCAGACGACGGAAAAGTTCAGACTCAAACTGACGTCCGCGGTCTGTAGTGATGGTTGAAGGGCAACCGAAGTTTGCTACCCATCGTTCGACGAAGGTTCGGGCCACTGTTTCAGCAGTGATGTCCTTGATAGGTACTGCTTCTGGCCATCGAGTGAAACGATCTACACAGGTTAAGAGGTAAGAGTATTCATTTGAATCTGGTAAAGGTCCTACCAAATCCAGATGAACATGGTCGAAACGAGCATCGGGAGTTTTAAATGAGCCTAAGGGATGATGACCTTAGATTTTTGGCAGCTTACACAGGGGCGTGCCCATTCCCTAACGTCTTTATTCATGCCAGGCCAGCAAAACCGTTCTGCTATAAGCTAGATGGTTGCACGAACGTCTGGATGAGAAAGTTTGTGCAATGTAATGAAGACATTGCGTCGATAA